ATCATATTTTCTTGACCTGGTAAGGACTCTAGCAGCTGCATTTTGGACTACCTGTAGCTTGTTTATTGAAGATACAGGACAACCTCCTAGCAGTGCATTACAGTAATCCAGTCTAGAGGTCATGAATGCATGAACTAGCTTTTCTGCATCAGAAAAAGGTAACATGTTCCGTAGCTTGGCATTGTTTCTAAGATGAAAGAATGCTGTTTTTGTAACATGGGAAATATGATTTTCAAAAGGCAAGTTGCTGTCCAGTATAATACCTAAATTTTTGACTGTAGAGGAAGTAACAGTACATCCGTCTAGATGCAAATTGTAATCATGTACTGTTTTTTTTGGTTCAATAAGTAATATCTTTGTCTTATCCGAATTTAATAGGGAAAAATTACATTTATATAGGCTTTTTTTTGGCTGAGCTGAAATGCCATTTGTCTGTGCAGGTGCACAGATATGAACAAATCAGGCTTAAGTATTCAGACAATTACTTTTTACATTTTTAACACACTCTGTTAGCTTAGATAATTTAGAAGTTTTATCTGATCTTGTTGAAATGAGTATCATCAGCATAACCATGGAAACTAATCTTGTATTTTCTAATAATATTACCAAGGGGCAACATGTATACTGAAAATAGCAGAGGGCCTAGGACAGATCCTTGATAAACTGGTGATAATTGAGATGATTCCCCATTTAAAGGGGTCATATGATGCGATTAAAATTTTTCCTTTCTCTTTGGAGTGTTACGTTTCGAAAAGGCGCGGCATAGAGGAGAAACAATAATGTACAGTATGTGGAGAATAATGTTTTTTTTTTACTTTAAAAAACAGCATATACACATTTCATTATACCAAATACACAAAATAATGTTCTTTTTAGCAGAATCATATGACCCCTTTAAATAGACAAAGTGATAACGATCGGACAAGTATGATCTAAACCAGTGTTTCCCAACCTTTTTTTAGTTGCGGCACCCTTTGGAAATTTTAACAAACTTGTGGCACCCTACAAAATGAATTTTGTCACAATATTTGAATTTCTAACTTCGATATGATAATTTGAAAAGTATAGATATTCGGTACAACAGGGAAGAACTGCAGAATATAATGTTATACTGATTTTTAATATTATTAAAAAATTGTTCATCAATGGTGGCAATCAGTAGGCTAATTTCTAATGAAGAGACCAATTTATTTGACAAATTTTAATGTAGGCTTTTATACATATGTAAACATTATTTAATTACCATTATAACTAGCTATCTCACATTTTTG